GTGGTGCTTACACAAAATTTAATTAGCTTCAATTTATAAAATAAAAAAGCACTTTATTTGGACCTTCTTATAAGAAAATGGCTTATAACTCAATTTCGGAAAATTCTCGTCCTAACTGGATGGAGAAGTATTTGAAACGCGTTTGACGGTTAAAGTACTGAGACGCCATGTCGTTTCCAGCAGCACCAAGCGTGTGCTCGAGGATTTATCGTGCATCCAAGTGATAGCATCACTCAGACTTCCCGACAGGAAGAATTACTTGTAGACCCAACTTACTACACCGCAGACATACTTTCATCCTACAGGTAAGCGTTTAGCTCGCAAAGGCGGCATATAAGCAGATTTATTTCTTGCTACTTAAAAGCAGGTTAGGGTGATGTGTAGTTTATTCTATGACGCCTTAGATGCGCATACACCTCGAGTTCACCCAAGTGTGTTGCCGGAAAGTATGCTCAAATTGTTGTAGAAAATGTTTGAACTTTCTTCCTTCCTTTGAGAGCCACTAGCGTTGCGTGATCGCCGCGTAGACTTCTTTCCTCCTCAACACAAATTAGTCCCTTGCGCAAGCACACGGCCGGCGTGACTTTTTGCCACCCTCTTCTCTGCTTTCATGCGCCTCGGCTTTTCCACCGAAATTGCCTCTTATAAAACTATCCCATCGATCCGTTTTGGCCTTGTGCATGAAAAGCCTCCTCCGCCCGAAATGTGCGACAAGCTCCACAACCCTTGTAAGTGACGCTAACCCGACTGCTAACATCGAAATTTTCCACTACCTTACCTAATTACAAGACTGATAGTATAGAAAATATTTGACTTCACAGAACTCAAGGCTACATGTCCTTACTTGCGCTATCTGACTGCCTCCAAAATCCTTACTAAATCCACTGGGGCAAACAGTATCACCGAAATTGGGGGAAAGTGTAAGCTCATAAGTGAATCACTACCACACACGCTTTTACTGTTAATTTTGGTCTCAACTCCCCTGAGAAGAAACAACGTCATGTGCAGTCTTTTCTCACGCCAATCGGATGGGGACGCATTGGTGACTGTTTTGAATGCATTTTAAGGTCAAACCATAGGCTTGATTTGTCACTTGATCATCATCGCGCTACTTTTTGTTTAATGTACTTAAACATAATAAGCAAAACTGTAAAAATAAAAGTTCACAATAAAAGAGAGAGGAATTTTGGGGAATATATTCTACACTTCAGGTTTTTTATTGACGAGACCATATAAAATGTTGGCTAATTAAGTAAGCAAATGGAGGCCTGCTATAGGTATCACTACGAATTGTTAAAGTGTAACACTTTTTAAAAATAAATAGATCTTTAGTAAAAGCCTAGACTGATTCCTCAACGTACTAAGATATGAATCCTAAAAGCCCTAATGCAAGTGTTGAAATATGGATGAAGTCAGAATATTTGGTCAACCCCATTAGGGGCAAAAAACTTTTCAATATTATAAGAGAGAACTGCTAAATTAATTGGTGGTGGATCTAGAAGGTGCATAAAAGTGCTAAAATTGCATTCCCATCCGCTTCTTAGCATGCAGGCTAGCTATTCTGGCAGCCCTTTTCACGTCAAAGTGAGAGGAAATGGTAAGGGCAATTAAATGCATCTTTTGAAGGCTTGTTTGGATAATTTGTAAAACGCACGCAAAGTATTCACTCCTATTGGTGGAATAGCCCCGCTTTTATTTCTTCTGACCTCTCGAAGCAAATTTTGCAAGAAATGGAGTACTTTTGCAATTCATAGAGTAGATTTTCGACCGACACTGTTCAACTTGAATAGTCAAACAAAAATCCAGCTATAATGCTTTTCCAAACAGATTGAGACTGCCAAAGGATTAACGGCTTTAAGAACAGAATTCTGGAGTATTTATTTCTCTTAGCTATTAGCTGATTGTAACCTATTTGTTTACTCAGATGCAGTTTTTTTTGGTGCCACCAAAGTAATGCCATTCCAAATTGCATTAAACCTACCGCAAGTCATTCAGTATACTTGAGTAAAGGGTTAATAATTGTTCCCATGACACCAACTTCCGACCTGTTGTAATACCTTGAATAAGTCAAAGTGACCTCTTGGGTTATTGTTTCCTACTTTCTTGTTTTGGGATGATGTTTCATTAGTTAAATAAAGGAAATGTAGAGGAGTTTTTCAGTCAGTATTTCAACATTATTAAAAGATTGAGGAGACTTGAGTTGGCCTCTTGCTTCAAACCTTTTTAAAGCAGATTATTTATTTTACCATATAATTTATTGAGACGCTTCTTAATTTTACCTTGTATGCGCAGTTGTTAGACGTCACAATATGCCCCTTTGGTGAGGAACGCTAGTTCAGCAGTTGAATTGAAGATAGGGGGCAAATAATTTGTCTGAAGGTAATTTGCGAGTGCCTCATTTAACCTTGACTTCACAGAGCCGAGCATAACATAGACTAATAAAGTTATCTTACGTTTGCTTCATATGAGACTTGAGATGTCAAAAGGCAGAGGACTGCTCATTGTGTATCGATGACTATCCGTTTTCATGATTCCTTCAGAAGGGTCTCCAAGTTGACGAGCTTGCACTCTTTGTTACCCGAAAGCTACGATGAATAATTCCATTGTTAACGCATAAAATGTACTTGTTCGACAAGTGCAACTAATTATTACAAATATTATTCTACAGTATATGCACTTTTAAATTCGCTAATTGATATCACCTACTGACCCATTGTAAATTGTTGCTTTATAAATACATTAGAATGACCATTTTAGCAGTCATCTTCTTCTGCGAGGTCTCACTACATTATTCTGTGATATCTGGCAACAATTAATACCGAGATTCTCTATTTTCCCTTTTTTGCCTATTTCATTGTTTTCTTAATACAAGCTATGGTAAACAGTTGGTAAGATATCTTCTGGCATTTTCGTTGCATTCACTCACATCCCTATAGTGAACAATTCCGAGGATGGATAAATGTAGGTGAAGTAACAGTGAAAGTTCCCAAGCATTAAGCGCATGTGCGACAGCTCAAACGACTACTACTAAAAACACCTGTAGAGTCGTGCATTCAAAGGTTGTTGTTACTGTAGTTCCCGACTCCCTAAAGACGAAAGAAGATATAATACTAGGACAGAATATATACATTCTACAAAAAGAAGAGATTGGGACTACTGACATAGCCCTGAGACCAGTCCACCCGGGAAAAGTACAATGGTGGGGACCTAAAGCGACCCTTTAACGGAACCGATAGTTAAATAAAAAAACAACCAACGTATTGTAATTTCAACATACTATTTTATATCCAATCCCGGGGATCTGGAAAGCCTCACCGAAAACTGTGCATTATTCTTTACTTATAAAATTACTATTTCCTAATGTCGACATGTTTCCTAACTCTGAAAAAGAGCTTTCTGCATGCGGTAGCGAGACTTCGACCGAACAAACACGAGAATTGCAAAAACAAGGCCAATAAAATAGCAGAAAGAATAACTTTAGAAACGCACCTTTTTTCACCAAAATCCACAAAAGCGCATCAATGCACGCGCCCACACCATCGCCGCGAATGATAGATGGACGGCCATTAGAGATGCACGTACAAACAGGTGGAAGAGAGGCCCATTATGGTGCTTTGTAGGCACGCTCTATTACCACTGTGCCTCATTTGTCGGGCTTCCAGTAGCGAACAAAAACGCATGTATAGAAGACATGTTTTATTAACCAATTATCACTCACAATTTGCTTTATGGAGTGACATTACAATTGTGCTACTACAAACATGGTAGACGCTTGTCTTACACGCATCTTTGAGACAACTCTCCTGCCTGTAGTGGCATTGAAACAGCTTATGATGTATTACTTTATTCCGACAAAACAACGCTACCAAACCAAAATAAACTGTTAAATTCAAGAAATTCTTTTTAGTGTCAGTCAAATGGAAACTGTTGGTGTTCAACCCTCCGAGCAACGTAGATAGACACTCGGATAATGCTAAAATAATGCGCAAAGAGAAGAGGAGAGGTGGCAAGATTCATCAAGTGAATGAAAGCGTTCTGTTTTAGAAAAGCTAAAACCAAATTTATATCATTTACCCAGCTATCCACAAACTAAAATCTAACTTCTCGTCAAGCTAATAGCTATTTCCACATAATTAAATGAGAAGTGAGTCGACTTCGAGATTTCCTTTTGGATACTCAAACTTTTTGCTGGCGCGAATGCTCGAAAAGGATAAGATGGTGAAAAAGTACAGTAAAGTTGTATTGCCATTTGTGGAAGAAACCAGGAACTAATTTACTTGAGCATTTGGATGGCAGTATGACCAAGATCAATGCTCAAAAACTGATGGAACTCCGCAAACCGCTAGCAATATAAATTGAGCAGTTCCCATATGAATGTTTCTCACAGGAATCAACTCGCTTCTTTTTGAAGTTATTTTTTGTCTTCGTATTCGAAGAAACGGCTCTATTTCGTAATGAAATTGGACAATGTGCAACTTTTAGCTTATGTTGATTGGGACTACTTTGTCTAAAAAGTTTTTCTAATGTTATTAAGCTGTTTACCAGAAGCGAAACTCTAAAAGTCAAGTAATGCTATAAAATCGAAAGTTGTTCCCTTTTAATTTGCCAAGGGCGATTCACATAAGGCGTTATTGCATAGCTGAGGGTCCAAGTCCATTTGCCTCGGCACACGGTGGGATGGACTGCAAGTGTACTAGAGCGAAAGTGCCCCGAAGGGCATTCGAACTAGACGGACCGGAAGTGCGCCATGGCAGCGGTTGGTAGGTCCCGCTGAGTCCTTTTCAGGCGCGTGCACCAACTGCTTCGTCAGCACCTATCACGTGCGTGCATTGACATCAGAGTGCGTACGTATACGCGGACGTGGACAATACGCATGCACTCGTGCGGACGTATGTCGTATCTGAACGCTAATCAGCCATGCGCTCCCATCCACATACACACACGCACACGTGCACATCGTTTGCTTTACCTTTGCACGCAGGCCGCATTTACCGGATGACATGCCCTCCATCTTCATCACATCCATTGCCACTTTCACCGTCACCCTCCTTCTCCTTCATGCTGCCTTCACTGATGCACAGAAGACAAGTGTGGCTTTCGTCATCAACGAGGAGTTACCCATCGGGGAGAGAGTTGGCAGTCTGACTGAAAAGTTGGCTCTAGATATCACCTCACGTAGCGAAGTGAACTTCGTCCCCCTGATTGATCTTCGGTTGGTGAATTTCAACCGGACCAGCGGTTTGATTACTGTGAGGCAGCGGATTGATCGAGAGAGTTTGTGCAAGGAGACAGGAGCCTGCTGTCCAGGTCGGAGTGTAATTCCTCCTCCAGTCTCTACATTCCATGATGTTCTTTTACCGCACTTGTCCGATGTACAGTACCCTAGGTGTGCCATCAAAATGCTCGTAATGGACCAAAGACCACAGACTCCTTTGTCACAACAATCTCAGGAACACCTACTTATTCAGGTGGTTATATATGTTAATGATCTTAATGACAATCCACCGGCCTGGTCACCAGACCGGCTCGAGCTTGAGATACCAGAACACACAGTGATTGGACGGAAGTTTCAGCTTCCCGAAGCCGCTGATCCCGATGAGGGACCGGAAAACACTGTCCAGAGTTACCGTCTCATCCCCAGTGATCCCCATGACCATGAATCAACGGTTCGCGGACTTGCGAGCGACGCTTTTAAACTATCCAGTGAATTGATTGAACGTTCGCCTGGAGCACCATATAAATTTGCTCTCGGTCTTAAAGTGGAAGCTGACTTGGATCGGGAAAAGCAGTCAGCGTACTACTTCCTTCTTATCGCTACTGACGGTGGATCTCCTCAACTAACTGGCAGTCTAAGTGTGATTATTCGTATCACTGATATCAACGACCAGACGCCGTATTTTCGTCAGACTAACCCTTCAGTAGAGATTCTCGAAAATACTGCAGTAGGAACACAGATCTACACAGCGGTTGCGATGGATGATGATCCCTCAGACGCTAATCGTCTGGAGTATCGAATGGGTTCAACGGCCTCTGCTGAAGTTCAGCGTCTCTTCAGCATCGACAGTCGGATAGGCTCTGTAGTAGTTTCGGGTGACATAGACTACGAATCAGCACCGATTTTGCCTAATAGCGATTCAAAGGATCCCTTATTTTCCGACGACTACGGTTATCTTATTCCAATAGAAGTCACCGATCAAGCTCACATTGCTGAAACAAAGTTGCGTGTTCATGTGCTGAATACTAATGACAACCCTCCTACCATTTCCATCCAGTCTCCTCTACAAAGATCCATCTCAAAGGGTGAGTTTTACATTCACGAAGATGCACCTGTGGGGACTCTTGTGGCTACCATAACCATGTCTGATGCAGATGAAAAGACTGGTTCTGAAAGAGGATTTCCAAATCGAGCCTCCATTCCTTACTGTTCCACCACTAACACCTTCTTCACAGTCCAACCCCTACACTCAGCAATGCGCAATCTCTTCAAATTGGTTACTTCGAAGCCTCTAGACCACGAAACCAAAAGCACTCATGGAGTCATGATCGTTTGTCACGATGCTGGCCAACCAGTCCTCTCTACCAAACAGTATTTAACAGTGCGTCTGGAAGATGTCAATGATTCTCCACCAGTCTTTGAAAAGGCCGTCTACTATGCCCGTATAAGCGAAGGTCTTCCCGTTCACACACCAATTCTCAAAATTCACGCATCTGACGCTGACAGTGGTGAAGCGGCCGAGGTGCGTTACCGATTTGTAAGCAGTGGTCGCCAAATGGACTACGACTCGATGGTACTGCTGGATGAAAAATCGGGCCAGATCAGAAGTGGTGCAGTGTTTGACCGGGAGTCGATAAAATCCATTAACTTCACAGTAGAGGCCGTTGACTGTGCCAGCGGCAATGGGACTTCCTGTGGAGGAAGGGTTAACACCGCTACAACCGAAGTCATTGTCCTCATTGAGGATATCAACGACTGCCCGCCTGAATTCGAGCATCAGTCCTACGAATTCACCATTGAAGAGGGCCATGTCTCAAAGGTTCCAGTGAGTGGTCGAAATTTTACCCTAACATTTGTCCAATAGTCATCAAATCAAGTTAACTCTGAATTCTCCGACCCTGTTCATGCGTGCAAGTAGATGCTGACATCGCAGACAATGTCGCTTGATTAATGTGATGGGAGGTGAAGATGTAGGATGATGGAGTCAGTTGGGAGAGGGGGGAGGGTAAGGTGTGCAGTGGCCTAGGTGTTTTATTTGGGTGAAGAAGGGCGATGAGAGTGTGTTAGTAGGGGGCCTAAGTGGAACAGACTCCGTGTCTCATTTGCATTCACTTTTGGACATGCTCGAGCAGAATAATGGCCAGAAATCAGGATGACTGGCTGGAATAGCGTGGCCAAGTCCTGCTCTCACGACATTTTGGCTGCATATCTCCAATTATGCATATGTTCATGGTTGTCCTGAATTTGTCTTTTCCACTGTACTGCGTATTCCTTGCCATTCAATGCACTCACTTTTGCATCATGGGCATTCAATGCATAAAAATGAAGGAAAGTTGGAAACCAAAAAACAGGATAACATGGCATAAGAACACACATTCGGTCCAGTAAAAGACTGCATTAAGCTGTCCGAGACTTCCGTCATCTGCTGAATAACGCTTTTTTCATGTCCACTACTGTCTGAAGGGAAGTCCCGTTGCTTGCTTGGGCAGTTATTCTCCACTACAGCTGCCCTGTTCTAAATCCTTGTTACTCTACTTATTGCTTATTCTTTCCGATTGATGAGTTTTGTAGATATTTATGTCCAAGATACATTTAAGTCTTGATCATTTTCCAAATTCCAATTATGCTTTTAGTTTATGCCAGTTGGCTCACCCACCAGATTGTCAAAACTAGTAAAAACTTTGATTTACACCAAATGGCATTTTATACTTAATTAAAAGGTAAAAATTCATGCACCTCGGGTCCAGTCCAAAATTGCTACGCATCGATTGCGATTAGTAGAAAAAAGACGTTGATGGAAGGCTAAGCCTTATGAACGCTCCAACGATTTTACGCTGATTTGAATCTCAAATCAATTTCTGCCACAATAATATTCGTTATTGTGATTAAGGACGCGTCGCTAAATTAAAGTAATAAAAGAATCAACTCCAGTCAATGGTTTCGACATTTATTGTTCTTCTTTCACTTGAAGGATGAAATAACCAATTATATGGCTCTTGTTAATGGCATGTCATAACAAATCTATAAACCAACACACTATTTTTTTGCATAACAAAACCTTGAGTTGCATTGAACAAATTAGCTTCTGAACGGAAGTCCCAATGGTACTTCGGCGAATGCAGAAGAGACGTGTGTCTACTAGTGTGCTCTAATGAATTGATGTTGATTCGTAAGCTCATCATTGGTTCAGTTTAAATAGTGGTTTTTTCGTTGATATTTCCACATATCTCCTCAAAAAACTAAGTCTTTTGAAATTGGAATAGCGAAGTGCCCGCAGAGATTAAAGGCGAAGAGGAAAACAAATAAGCTCACCAATCATCCCTTGTTTACTGCCGTCTGTCTTGAATGACGCTGTGTAGTAGTCGGCGTAAGTTATGGCCTCCGGCTCAACCTTCATGAGACCGGTTTCAAAGGCGCAGTTGGGCATGAGGGCGATGTGGTGATTAATATGCCATCGTACATACACGCACACACACACTCGACCCACAAATGGAGTTGTTCGCAGGGTCGGAAGGCGGTACTTCATGCACACAGCAAGGGATCGCGCCGTAATTGTCAACTCTCTGCAGTGTTGTGTGGTAGGCGCCACTGGCCTTTGGGTGGAGCAAAACTTGCTAAATTAAACGAACAATTATAATTCCCCAGCACAAACTGCTGGTTTGAGTTCCTTTTATTGGCTGTCGGTTTGTTTAATTCATTTGCTTTGAAGTAGAAAGTATAAAGGTCAGCTTTATTGAAGGCCTTATGATGGCTTCTGAAGTTTTACCAAAATACCATGAAGTAGTAGCATTTTCTAAAATTCCTCACCTTGTAGAAGACTCTCAACTTGTCGAAATTAGTATTTATGTAAATTAGTTGGCGAATAAATGTAAATCAACACATTAAATCTCTTCCGCATAAAATGGCCGCCTCAATAAAATTTTATCTTCCTAAAATTTAATAAATATCCTGATCACTCCGTACACTAGCATCATATATTCTAGAGTCCACTTGATTTGGTTTTGTATTGATGTGTCGTTTTCTGAGATTAGCAGGTTGTGATAAAATTTATGCTTAGCAGAGATTATCTTTGTCTAGTAATGCTTGGACTCGACGTCGTCCTTTCATCCCGGCCTCTTCTAGTTAGGATTTCATTTCCTGCGTTAAAATTCAGAATGGGACAAAAAGGAAGTTACTTGAATTGTTGCGATGAGCCTTTCTTGATGTTTTTCTAAGAAAACTACTATTATTCCCCGTCGAGCATAAATTCTTATTTCTTTACGAGAGGAGTACCCCATATTTGCCTTTTAATAAAAAAAGGTGACTTACAAATAACTGAATTTACTCTCGCTCCACAAAATCGCCTGCAGTCCTTAATGTTACAGAAATGCCTCTGGATTTCGCAATTTGACGCTTCATGAGTATTTACTCAACTCAGATGTTTACAAACCCTTGTGTTAAAGCTGGATTCGTGGAGCGCATTGTTACTAGATCATGTATTCACGACTACACCAATGGTAACGGTTCGTTTTTAGGGCTGATAAACTGGAAACTCGATTGAATTCCTCACATCAGAGCATCGTCCGTTGCAATCAAGCAGCCAGGTAGGAGATTCACTGATCATAGGTGCATCTGAACCCACCTGGCGGATGCCTCAGGAGGAGTTTTTACCTCTGACCTGGAACTAATTACAGCATTCAGATATCTAAAAGTCTGAGGTGGAAGCAGATGATCACATAAGACTGTGTGATTGACAGTAAGGTGTTCTCAGTGTAAATGACTTGTAAATTCTATAAATACCACATAGTTACCTCCATTTTTATCATTTTATTTACCGATGTTTTAGATAAGGGCTATTTAATTGGATGAGGTGTTACCGAATCTCACATTATGAATCCTATCGGTTCTTTTCATATGAAAATATTTTGACGTAACACCGAATCAGGCGCAGTAATTGCACTTCCCTCCTTGTTTCGGGTCAGGTACAGAGGTAAGAATGTGGATCTTTTGTCAATGCAGGTTCGACACGCTTTTGCGCACTTTCTGCACTGGTCGTTTTTTTTGTGCTCCCTATTCCGCATTGTGCACTCATTCCAGTAAGCCGAGAATCGATTGAAGAAATAATTCAGCATTATCACCTGCAGCTAAGATTTAACTTAAATTCCCACAATTTTTAATTTATTAGTCACTTTCATGGGAATTATTTCAGTGTCCTCCAGTTGCACCCACTTTCAGGAAAAGTATCGTTTTGAAAGGAAAAAAAGGCAATTTATTGTGCACAATATCTACGTAACTATAAGGAGTAAAATGAGGTTCCACTGCGTGATGTCGATTTCCGATTCTCACCTGCACAAGATGCCCTCTGGATAAGCTGCTTCCGCAGAAATGGACCAGAAAGAACAGTTTCCGTTGTGTAAAAATTTTATCCCAGATAGGATAAACTGAGGCAAGAGCTGAAAAGATGTCGCGAGAAGCAGCTATTCATTATCCATTTCACACATGCTTTTCTCGTATGTGTATAATCTTTTCCTCCTGCCCGTGCGTATAAATACGTTAGGACTTGAGAAAGATTATAGCTTTACGTACTCGTTTCGACTTGAAAAATCTAACATTCCCATCTAATTACATTCTGCATTACACTAGAAATAGGTTATTCACTGAAAGAAACTAAGCGTTTAGACTGAATTAGGGTGATTCTCAATTAAATACACGGCAAAAAAGCTTATGCAATTTTTGCAGTTCGACGAAAGTAAGTAGAGGAAGATTAAAACATTCCATTTGTTGCAATGATTTCTATTATAGTATTCAATTGACACTGTTTTGCCAGGAAGATGCAAACTTCCCACGAATTTTACCTTATTGAGTAGTGTCGAGTGGATGGTGAACAATTGCGCCTGCAGCCCACCAAAAGGCAAAATCACTTCCATCAAGTTCAACCGACATGCCATAGTATGAGGATGGGTTCAAAATAAGAGGAATATATTAGGGATGACAACAAGGGGTACCGCACTGATGGACAGATGTAGAGCTATGTTTTGTAGTGCAAAAGAACAGTCCCACGTATTTCATAATTCCTCCCAAATTTCAGTGAATCGCTGCAGCAGGCGATTTCGACAACCCCACAAACTATTTTGGTCATTTTATGTCAGGATGAAATACTGATTATTAGCAGCTAATGAGGAGGATTCTTGAAATTAGTGCGAACTTTGTTGTATGCAGTAGAACTTTTGAATTACAAATTTTGCAATCCATGGTACCTCAAATACACCACTTTATTACTAAGTATAATACTCAGATTTAGATTCAAAATGAGGCGTTTACGTCCATTGGGAAATTGAAATTGGATTGAATTTGAAATTGAATTGGATACTTCTACTATCTTTTTCGATCCTAAAGTGAAACCTAGAATATTAGCTTAATCTTTGACAAAGTGGGGTAAAAGAATCCCCTTTTTCTCGGAATCCTTTTCCAAACCATACAACTACTATTAACAAATCAATTTTGATGTCTGCCTTGCAAACTTATTTGTTGTTTGCGGTTTGAATAAACCCATCTCCTCATGTGCCCATTTGCTCACCGCATAAACCAAAAACGAAATAAAGTGGCGACCTAAACTGGATCATTTAACTGCAGTTTTTACTCGAACAGACTAAAAATTCCTGCCTCAAAATGATTTGAAGCTTACCAACCGGTGTGGAAGCCAATAGTTCCTATCCCCTCTGTGCCATGATCCCCTTTTATTGTAAAACGGAGAGCGATTATAATATATGGTGCTATCTTCCCTTAAAACATACAAAATAATAGGAGTAGGATGCTTCTCAAAATAAATTACGCATTTCTATGGAATAAATAAATTCAAAGTTTGGTTGTCAAAAATGGGCATTT